CCTTTCAGTCCCTAAATGCAGGTCTTTGAAGCTTCCTTACTGTGACCCTAAGTCCCAAAAAGGTACTTCTGCGGCAAAAAGAAGGTAACTCCCCCGGTGTCGACGATCGTGGAGTTCCTTTGCCCGCGCGCATTGGTAGACCAGCTCTTCGCAATGTCGCTCTGACCTTCTTTGAGGAATATGTCTTTTTTTCGGGGGGGTGCTTATAGTTATAAGGAGTAGTATACGGGCTCTATAATAAGGGTTCTACATACCTTAAATCATATCGGGGACTCTACTATAACTGCAGGTCTATTTCGTAATGAAGTAATTTTGGCAGGTCTGGGTACTACTTAGTGGTACTTAGAAGTAAGTTTTAGTCTTTGGTTATGATAATCCTTAAGAAACGGCTAAAATTGTACTTTTTGCTAGTGGTCTAAGTTCAAGATACCTAGAGGCTCCATAGTAGTTCCTTTTTGGGTTCATAGTTAGAATCCTATAAGGGGATCCCCAAAAAGGAACTACTATGGAGCCTCTGGATAGTTTCGGGGATCTACAACTCGAGGGTTCGCCAGAGCCGTTTATTCTGACACTTCAGCTGAAAGTTTCTTTGCCCATGATGGCGACTTTACCCATAAACCCTAAGCCCTAAACCCCAACGACTTTACCCATAAACCCTAAGCCCTAAACCTCTAAAACCCTTTATCCCCAAACTTGCTTTGGTTTTTGCTCCTGTGTCCCAAGCCCAAAATCGAAAGTTCCCCCGAGCCCAGAAGTTGGGTTCTCGGGTGCCCTGGCCTTGCCTTGCCCTACTTGGAGGATCACCTAATTGGGGTTATAAGTAATTATAAGTATACTTACCTTATCTATTACTAAGTCCCATGATCCTTTAAGTATAGAAGCATTTTACTTAAACCATTATATACATGGGTGAACAACCTTGCACGTCTAAGACGTGAAGATTTCAGGGTTCCTCCAAGGGTCCTACGGTTGATGATATAAATCCTGCATTACCCATAATAAGGAATATACCATAATTCCCATAGTTTAGGGTCCTTAAGGTAATGCAGGATTTTGATCATCAACCGTAGGTATTGTTATGGGGGATACTTCCCCAGATCATCATTGGAATTCCTAATTAATATAGAAACCCTACATTCTACTATACAGGTACTTTGGACCCTTCTCTCAGTTCCGGGCTGCTATAGAAGGTCCTTTAGAACCCCTGGCCGCAGTCCTGGCGCGCCGTCAGGTTTAGGTTTTGCGGCTTCAAGGGTTTGGGGTTTAGGGCGTCAGGGGCGTGGGGCTTGAGGATTTAGGGGTTTGGGGCTTTGGAATTTAGGGGTTTGGGGCTTTGGAATTTAGGGGTTTAGGGCTTTAGGATTTGGGGGTTTGGGGTTCAGTATCCTCAAGCTTTCGAAGTACGTAGCAGAGAACCAGTGACACTGCCCAGTTTGAGCATCCTAAATCCCCCAACTAGACCTCAAGACTCACAGCTCTAAATTCCCAAATCCTTGACTCTGACACAAAACCGTGAGCAATAAAACCCAGAATTTCTAAAGGCCTACAGCCCTGTCGCGCCATGTATAGAACCTGTAAGGAAACGCTGCAAGGAACTTTGAAAGGAGCCCTAAACCAAGGAAGCGGAGGATCGAAAATGGATCCTTGAACCTGAAACCGTGACAAGCACTCAAAGGCAGCGGAAGATAGAAAACGGATCCTCAAACGCGCCTAAACTTCTACCTGTTTCAACTAAGACAGTGGAAGATCCAAGATGGATCCTAAACCTTCTCAGCCCCAAAACCCAAAACCCCAAACCCGAAAGCTAAGGCAGTGGAAGATCGACGATGGATCCTAAACTTTTCCCAAGCCCAAAACCCTACACCCCAAAACCCCAAATCGGAAAGCTGAGGCAGTGGAAGATCGAAGATGGATCCTGAACTTTTGCAACCCCTATAAACCCTAAACCCAAAACCCCAAACCCGAAAGCTATGGCAGTGGAAGATCGAAGATGGATCCTAAATTTTTTCAACCCCAAAACCCAAAACCCGAAAGCTAAGGCAATGGAAGATCGAAGATGGGGCTCGATCGCACGGACTGGGAGACAAGGGCGGCAAGGGCCTTCCGATCTTCAACGAAGCCTTGGAATCAGGAGACCTTGGGTGTTCGCCTTTGAAGGGTTCCTTCAAGGGCTCCTTTGAAGGGTTACTTTAAGGGTTCCTTTCAAGGGTTACTTTAAAGGGTTACTTTAAGGGTTCCCTCAAGGTTCCGTTGAGGGTTCCGTTTAGGGTTCCTCTTACGGTTCCTTTTGTTTTGAGAGTTGGTTAGGATTCGATAAGGGCGCTGGGTTTAGGGTTTAGGGTTTTACTAGGTATCGATTGCTTCGGGATCAGAAGACTATGGCTTCGTTTGAAGGGCTCCTATAGGATGGGTTCCTTTGAGGGTTCCTTTTAGGAGAATTCTATAAGCGTACTGGGTATCAGGACATTTTGGGTTCCCTTATATACTTTGGATATTAGTCAATTCCCCTTATTGTTTTACACAGAGCCCTATATACAGCAAAGTTGGGGATTGTTGAAATCGACACCTCGTGTAAGTTTCCTTTCAGGGTGTCCATGAAGAGTTCTTTGTTGGCTCTATGCAGGTCTATATGGGTGGTTGTCAAAACTATGGTCCGTTTTTGGGTCCCCTATATTCTAGGTGCCGTACTATATGAGGGACCCCAAAAGGGCCCATAATTTTGACAACCACCCCTTTAGGGTTGAAGGCTTCATGGTTCAGGGTTCAGGGCTGGAATCAGGAAGCTTCGGGCCCTTCTACGGGCGTAATGTAGGAGCCTTGATGATTAAGAATACGGTTTTTTGGGTTGGGGTATATTCTCCTATGGACAATAACGAGGAGAGCCGCAAAAGAGTATTCTAATAATTACCCTAAGGCCCCAAAGTAGTTCCTTTTTGGGGTTCATAAATAGAATCCTATTAGGTATTCTTGAAAAGGAGCTACTTTGGGGCCTATGGGTCAGCAGGCCCCTCAATCAGGTTTCAGGTTGCTTTCAGGGTTCAGGGGTTCAGGCTCGAGAGTTTGATTCCTTTAGGGGTTGCTTCCAGGGTTTAGGGGTTTGGGGTTGAGAGTGGAGAGTTTTCTGGGTGCCTTTAAGGGTCCGCTAAGGGTTCCTTGAAGGGCTTCAACATAAGGCTGTAGGCCAGTAGGGTTGAGGGTTTTTGTGTTCAGGCCACACATTAGACATAAATCTAGATTTCGGTTGGGGCTTCTGGGCTTCGGGTTTAGGTTGCTTGGGTGCTTCTGTTGATGCAACAAATCCTGCATTACCCAAAATAAGGAATATACCATAGTTCCCATAGCTTAGGGTCCTTCAAGGTAATGCAGGATTTGTATCATCAACCGTTCTAGTTCTGCTTTAGGGAGCATAAGAGAAGGAGCAATCAGCTGGCGTATCGTCTTCGTCAAGCGCCCGCGGAAGTGACAGCTGTCGGAGACCTTTTCTGTACAGTGTACAGCGCATCTACGCCGGAGATATCAGAATCTCAGGCCATCTGGTTTGAGTTTCACATTATGCTCCAGTCGGCAAAAGAAATCCTTGAGCCCCAAACTCCAAGCAACTCGGTACCGCGAGGCCTACTTCCAGGTCATCGGAAATCACTTCCCTTGGCTCTCCGCAGAATACCGCACCGTCCCGCACCTAGCGTCCCGTTGAAGGCTCTTCCGTAGCACTTTTGACTTGTAACAAGCCCTGTCAGTGCTGCCTGCTTAGGGTTTGGGGCAGTTTAGGGCCTAGGGTTGCTGTAGACTCCATAAAGGACAGACTGGAAGGCCAACAATCAGGCTTTCCGTAGACCATCAGGGTACGTGTAGCCTACTTGCAGCCAAAATCAAGAACTAGTTTCGATTCGAAGTCTTAACTTGAGCCTTCCCATCCTAAACCCCCAAACCCGAAAGCCCTGATACTAGAACCCGTGCAAACGCCTGCAGAATCTCCACAGAGCCCTAAGACCCTATAGTGAAGCCCAGAAAGTTGGAACATGGATTTAGGATGATTCACGCTGGGATCCCCTATACTTTGCTTTACGGGCATGAGGCTACTGATGTTCCAACTTTCTGGCTTCTACTGTATACTTGCAGAGCCAAACCCCAAACCCTGAAACCCGAAACCTACACCCGGGGACCTAACCCGAAAATCCCAACCCGAAGCTCGAACCCGACAGTATAGCATCCTGTACTTAGGGGTACTTAGAAATAACTTTTGATTTTTGGTTATTATCATCCCTAAGAAACAGCTAGAATTGCAATTTTTGCTAGGGTTCTAAGTTCAGTATAGCGTATTGCAGTGTCGTATAGTAAAGAAGAGCGCAGGTTGATCCAGTCATCCAGTTTTTGGTGGAGTGGTTGTCAATATTAGGGTCCCTTTTTGAGTCCTTATTCTAATGCGGCACCTATTATTTAGGGTACCCAAACAGGGACCTCAATTTTCACAACCAGCCTGGTGGAAGCCAATGATCTTTAAGCCCAGGGATCCCTGAACTCACACTTCCACAGACGTCAATATGGGAGTTTCCGAAAACAAAGGGTACCTTATTTGGGGTCCTTATAATAAGGATCCTACCATTTGGGGTAGTATATTAGGGTTCCTTATTTTCGGAAACCCCCTTATGCCGTATACGATGCTCTCTCGCACGGTACAGCATACTGCAGTGTAGTATGTTGCGGTATACCCTAGACCCTAAGCCCTATAATAGAAAGCTTCCCTGCTTTTGCGTTGGCCCCTTGTGCCGACGCTCGCGTCTGCCCTTTGGCTCTGCACGGGGACAATGAAGGGATTAGTATACTGCAGGTTTGGCATAGTGTGCTCTAGTCTACACTCTGGTGTAACATTGTAAACCAAGCTTGAGGGGCCAAGAAGTTACCAATATCATTACGTGGTTCCTTATTATGGTTATAGTATAACGGGCCCCGAAACCCTATTCCAAGTATTAAGGCCCCTGTTTTAGCAGCTCGGAGAGGACATGAAGAGGCCAAGCGCCAAAGCCATGGCCAGCAGCGGCATCGCCAAAAAGACCAAGGCCAAAGCCAAGACCAAAGCCAAGTCAAAGATGAAGGCCAAAACGAAGTATCAGGAGAGGATGGATGATGCCCTGGAGGTCTGCCGACAGCTTAGCGAGGGTGAGCTGGCCCTGGAAAATTTGGGGAAGAGCCCTGCGACTGAAGGCTACAAGCTGCTGAGAGACCTCCTGCCCTCCTGGCTCTCCAAGCACGAAAAAATGACGGCAAAAATTGTTCCACCGAGCTATGACTACACCCTCTGGCGCTTTGCACAGGCCGCTGTGTATTTCCTAGTTGCTTTGTCGGCTTACTAAGTACAATAGACTCGCTAGACTTTGTAGTGTTAGTATATTCTATTTGAGAATTGAACTTCATATACGGTGCGGCCCGATACTTGACTGTATTGCTGCCTTCTGACATGCAATATACTGCGGCGACATAGCATGCTGTACTTCAATAGACAAAGCTTGGCTACTAGCAGTTGTGCCGGGGCGACTCAAGTGTACAGTATACGCTAAAGTCCCGATCCAGGTGTGCAGCTTTGAGATCGACGGGGCAGACAGCTTGTCCGAGGAGTCCCTGTGCAAGATCCTTTTCTCTGATAAGCATGACAAGCGCTTCTATACCATGGGAGTCGAGAATGGCCATTTCATCCGGGACGGCGCCCACTACTTCTACGAATACCTTGTCAAGAAAAAGGTAGACCCGAAAGATCTAGAGAAGAAGCTGAAAATGAAGCAACTGAAAATAGTGGAAGACTTGCTGGTTGCGTTTGCAGGTCTCCCTGAAAAGTCCTGTGCGAGTCATAAGTTCTGGCGCTGAGAAGTGTTCAAGACGACGACCGCCGACAGCATGCCGCTACGTCCTGGCTCTGCGCAATCGCCTGAAAAAAAGACAGCAGCTGTGCGGACCCAGACCTACATCATATCAGCCTTGAACCCAAGACCTTCAATTGCAGTACGATTTACTGAAAGTGAGCACTTTTGGGGCGTTTGATCTCAGCAGCCTTAAAGCCGAGGTCCCACTGGAAGGTCCACCATGGCGTTGGCCTCAGAGAAGTTCGAAAGCTCCTACAGGGGATTCCCAAAGCCCCCAAGACAGTCTTTATCGGATCCCTTAACGGATCCTGTAAGGGATCCCTAAAGATCCTTTCATCGGGTCCCCCAAAAAGAGCCCTTAAGTGATGTAGGCGAGTTCCTTTAAGGGCTCCTTTAAGGGTTCCTTGAAGGGATCCAAACAGCCTATGCTTCCAGGCCTTGGAAGCTTTCCGGGGCTTCTTTGGAGGATGGGTTTGATTGGGTTTTTTCGCGGGAAGGAGGTTTAGGATTTAGTGTTGTTGTATCGGCGTATCGGAGTGTAGGGAACACTGTGGAAGGTAGACGCCTCAGCAACCAGTATAATGTTACTAAAGCTGTAGCTCCTCTCGCTCCCCATAGACACGTCGTCTTCACATTTGCTTCTCCTCGGTAGATAATACGCGAATGTGGGGGAATCCATGGGCAGTACACATCAAAGCCGTTTCCTGGTCATTGCACGTCTTATCAGGGGTGCAACTTACGTTTCGGAACTGCCACAGACTGAGGCTGGAAGGTTCCCAGGAGTCTGTCGTGGTCGTGTAAGCACGCTTGCGGCGGAATAGAGAGGAAAGGGGGATGTTTCATGGGAGCCATGCGATGGAGTGTCACGTGAAAGTACTACCACAACCTTGGTGTTTCTGTGTTGAATTTCTTCACACCTAATCCCTCCGATGTTAATTACCTTTCCTTACTTACTTATGCTGGCAGATTCCTTCCGACCAATTTCCATATTGGCGATTTGTTAATCACGATTGGGATCTCATATTCTTCTAGTCTGTATTTATTTATCGAATGTGTTCATACTGATCTGCATATTTTGGAGGACAAATTGAATAAAGAAAGAAAAGTCAAACTCGAATGCTCAAATGTTTTTGATTAGATGTTTGCTGTTTCGGTTATTAATCTTGTGAAGCCTTGGCCTTCTACAATAGGAGTTATATTAAATGACTGGTATATATACGAGGTCTAGATTTATAGTTCTGGTGATTCTTATTTTGTACCAGAAAT